TGATATTGATTTTATTTTCTGTGTTTCTCTTATTTTTGTGATTTTCGTATTTTTGTTCTCTTTTTGTGCATATTAGTTTTTCTTTTTGTCTTGCTTGTTTCTGTTTTCTTTTTCTTTTTCTCTTCGTGGCTACGTTTGGGTTGTTCTACTTTGGTGTGCAGGTATCATTAGCTACAACCACACTTTCCCCTATTCGCACACCCAACCTTGGGTTCACGAGCCGAGCTATCACGTCGGGCATCACTACCAGCCATATTCATACCCTTCCGAGCAGTACTGGGACCCCTTCCCGGTCGAGCAACACTATGAGTCCCACGAGTTCAACGAGAAGCTCGACCGTATTTATGATTTCGCAGTATCCCGGTTAGCTCAGGAGGAAGAGACCGCAACCCGGTGTGCCCGCATGAACCAGTCACCTCCTTACTATGATCCTCGGGACTATGGCCAGACTTGGTCATATCCTTACGAGCAGCAATGGGACTCAGTACCTGTTGAGCAACCATGCGAGTCCTTCGAGGATTCCTTAGAGTACAATGCCAAGCTCGACCAGGTCCTCACTCTTTTGGCATCCCAAGCGGCTCGTAAGAGCAACCTTGAGTCCCGAATCGAGGAACTTGTGGAGCGCGTGCAAGCCTTAGAGGATCGAGCTACCAATGTCACTCCCGAGCCCACCGCCCAAGGCGAACCTACACATAAGGACGAGCCTCGGGAGACTACTTTGTCGTTCGATGAAAAGCTCGACCTCATCCTTGCTCGCATATCTGCCCTGACCACTCGAGATGTGGACATTGAGCTTGGGTGTGCTCGACTGAGCACACAAATGGAGATTCTTGCAGCACATACCAGCTCAATCGAGGCAGAATTTGACGTCCCTCAACCTATGCTTGATACTCAAGCCCGCATGATGAAGAAAATGTGTGAGGCCGAAGAAGAAGAGGATGAGCTCAAGCGAGTCATTGGTGATATTTTAGATGAGGAGATCCATGGGCTTGATTCTCAAGTCTCTCCTCCCACCTCCGAGTTAGAGCATCCGTCTTCGGGGCTCTTGCACTGTGTTACGAAGAGGGAAGGATTCAGTTTGACTTGCTCCACAGATGTACTTATCATTCTGGAGGTTGACGATAGAGCTCGGGTGGGAAAAGCTCTACGTCTAGAGTTTGGAATTGCTCGTCCCCGAGACCTCTTTATACAGAACATGACCACCCTGATCCACTATGCCCGCCTTCTAGCCACACTGCCCGGGCTACCACTTCTGGAAAATACGAAGGCGTGGCATGACAGTCACTTTTTCTTAGATCCCGGCTGAGTTTCCTTCAGGTTTCGTCAAGCTAATGACGTTAAACAAGCGCTTCTTGGGAGGCAACCCAAGCGATTTACTGCTTTATTAGATATTTTTCTTTTCGCTTTTTAGTTTTATCTTGGAATAAATGGAGTTGGGAGTTCTTTTGTGTTTTTCTCGACAGGTGCTATTTGCGAGCTTGAGCAAGAGGAATAACGAGTTCTGATGAGCATAGGCGAGTGACTTGCACATGCATGCTATTTCTCCTCGAGGCAATTCGGTTTGCACATCATTTTCTTATTTTCTCTTTTTGAGTTGTTTCTTTCTTTCGTTTTTTTATTTTGAGTTTGTGTCTTGTGTTAGCTGCTAGTTTGGTTCATTATATGAAAATGTTGGGTCCTATTTTGTGACTTCCGGTTTGTGTTGAAGCAATGAGGTCTTGCCTCATTCTAAGTGTGGGGGAGTTTATTTGGATTTTGCATGTTTATGTGGTGGGCCGGTCTAGCGTTAGGTTTTTGTGTTGTTGAGCATGGTATTGGTGGATTATATGAATTGTTAATAAATGTTTGATGAAATTGGGAAGTTGTGATAACGAGCGTGTTGGTCATTGCCTTGGTATTTGTTTGATTGCTTTGAGTGACATTTATTTACCTTGTGAGGTTTTGAGCCTTATTTTTTTTTCTTGTGGGATATTGGTCATATTCTTGAATGATTAGAACTTGCCTTGAGTTTGTTTGAAAAGAATCGATTAGAGTTTGAAATAACGAATATGATTGAGGCGTTTTGTTGATTAGCTCCCTTTCTGCCTTGTTTTTTGGTCCTAAAATTTATTCCACTAGTAGCCCTTTGAGCTTAAAACCCTTTCTTGTCAACCTATTGACTGATTTGTATGATGATTGGGGGATTGGTGGTATTTCTGAATATGGTGGATATTGAGTTGCATTGTTATTTGCTTGACCAGTTAAAAAAAAATAATTAAAAAAGAAATTGAAAAAAAAAAGAGAGCTCACAAGGCGATTCGAATGGATTATGCTCCTCTTACTAGTCGATTCATGTTGACGGGTAATGATCATTTGGAAACTACTGTAGGACACTTGGATGACCTCCAATGTTCACACCTACAGAATGTTGTCCTTTTGATTCGATCTTGTTCGGAAAAAGTTACTCTCTGAAAAAAAAAGATAATTATAAAAAAAAATGAAAAAACTGGGTCAAGTGATATTGCAATTCGATTAGGGCAGTGAGGTGTTGTTTGTGGAGTTGTTTGGTGGATGGTGAATGTGCTATATTGTTTATTCCAGTTTGGTAGCGGAGAACTCGAGTAATTTATTTGCTCGAGAATTTTGTTGTTTATTTGAGCTTCTTTTCTGGCATATATATCCCTAAACCCGCATTACAACCCCTGAAGTCCTCTTGATTCGCATATTTTGAGCTTTGATTGTCTTCGAGTAATTTAAACGATTGGCAAGCATATGTTGAAACTTGAATATTGGCCAATTTTGAGCGTACCTATCATATATTCATGTAAGAAAAGGAGTGAGGCGTATATGATGATCTATGTTTTGAGAGTTTGTCATTTCGAGGTCAAGTTGATATTTGAGGCATATGGTCGTACGGTCGTTGGAATTCGACTCAATTGAATTGGGCATTTTGAGATTCTTCTTATTTGAAACCGTATCAAGGCTCGTGTCTTCTTTTTTTTTC